ATAACAGAAAAAATGAGCATTTATCGGCCGATACCGATATGGTGGATATATCGTGCATCCCTACACGTGAGTGGTTAATCACGTGTGCCGATATGCGGTTGGATCGTTCTTTTCTCTTTACTGTTATCACTGGCATATTGTCAAAGTGTCTAAATTTAACATTTGGTAATATTTCTATTCAAAATCGCGATTCCTCGATTTCTAAAAAAATTAAATCGTGGCAAAACAATAAATTCGAATTAATCTATAAAATCTGGAAAATCGCCCAGCCCTACCCTTGAGCATTGTTAACTCAGTGTACTGCATGTGTGTTCTTCTCACCTTTGCGCTGATCAGACTGTTTCTCCTTATTTGAGCCATACACTGCAATGACCGAATGAGCGATTGCCAGTTTCTCCTCCATTTTCCGACATACCCTCTGCTTCTCCTTCAGGGCCTTCTGCAAACTTTCGATCTGGACGATCCTCTCCAGACTTTCATTTCCAGGCGCATCTCCACCTCTTCCACTTTGGCCATGCCCACTAACAGCTTCCTCAAGTTCGTTCATTTTCTGAGCACACAGAGTATGAATCTGAAGAAGCATCAAGAGGTTCTTATGAAGATTCTGGTGTGAGGACACAGGCTCCCGAACACTCTGTTGCAGTTCTAGTTTAGAACTCTCAAGGTTGTGAATGGGTGTGCTTGTCTTTTGTTGGTGACTCTCAGTGCAGGCTGGGTCCTCCAGAGACTCTCTCTCCAGCAGAGCACGCTGCAGCCTCTCCAGCCATTGCTTTAACTCTGGACTGGACAAGATCTCCTCATGAGACTGGTTTGGTTTGGAGCAAACGTCTGTGAAAGACTTGACTGTGCCTTCAGCAGCTCTAATGCACTCAGATAGACAGTCTGTCAGCTGTTGCTGCTGCAATGACAGGACCTTTCCTACTGGTCCAGGAGTGTAATTCCCCTCCAGACCTGTGGGTGCGCTGTTGCGCTTGGCGCTGACAGCTGCACTCAACTTTTTAACAGCTGCTTCTGAAGTCCAGAGCTTCTCCTGCAGTTCTGCATTCATCCTGCACTGCTGCAACAGTGACTCCTGCAGTGATTCTACCTGTCGCCGTAGGTCAGAATCAGGTCCTAGCACTGGACCAACCTCTGTGCTGTGAGTGTCTTTTGACCTGTCGTCGCTTTGCTGAGAAATTCTGATCCGTCCAATCAAGTCCTCAAGCCTCTCGCTAAGTGCCTTTGGGACTTCTTGCACAAGGTCCATTTGGCTGCTTGTAGTGTCGACATTTCGGAGCAATGCAATGGCGGATTCCGCAGAGTTCAAGCAGTCCAAGAGTTGAGCGTTGAGTCGGTCTTTCTCCTCAAGAGCCTTCTGAAGATCTGCACAACGTTGCTGCAATGTTACATCTCCTGTTTGACCGATTCCACACTCCAAGTCCAAGCTGCATGCGGTGAGGTACGCAATAGTAGACTCTGCCGCTTGTAGGGCTTCCAGGTATTCTCGGTTGAGCTTGTCCTTCTCCTGTATCTCTGCCTGTAGCTCGTCCCATTCCTGGACTTGTTGTCTCAGGTGGGAGATTAGATCTTCCTTCTCTTGGCATTCTTGATTCAGCAACTCTAATTGTGCCACGAGCTCGGATTCCAGATTCTGGTTCATGTTAGTGTCTTGTTTTGTTCCAGCAGTTGGACTCAGCCTAGCATCTTTAACATGGTCTAAATTGAGGTGTTTGTGCTCAGCTGATCTAGAAGACATCTTGCTGTCCGTGCTATAATCAGACTCTTCCGCCCCAGTCAGGTAGTCTTTGTTTCTGGGGTGAACGTGGCCTGAATTCAGCTCACTCAGATCTTCTGAACTCTGCCCAGAACTCCTACTGGGCCAAACAGGTACTGGTAGCCGAGATTTTACATACGCCTAAAACAAAGGACATTAGGATTATCTTACTGATAAAATACTTTGGAAAAGACAAAGAAGACTTTAATTCAGGTTTGGATGCATCTCCACACTAGAGGTAAGAAGTGGGAAGAAGGGTTGGTGTGTCATACTGGATAATTCGATTCACAAGCTTGATTTGATTCAATATAGATTCATTTGGCTGTATATCAGGTACAGTATACGTACATTTTTCTTAAAAAAAAAAAAGAACCGTTATCAGTTCATCAAAATGAGGATCAATTAAAATCGAGAAATCAATATTGTCAACCCAGCCATACAGAACAAAGCAGGGTTACCCAATCCTGTTCCTGGAAATCTAACTACCTGAAAATTTCAGTTCCAACCCTGCTCCCAAAACACCTGTCTGTAATTATCAAGTGCTTCTGAAGATCCTACTTAGCCGGTTCAGGTATGTTTAATCAGGGTTGGAGCTGAAATCTGCAGGAAGGCAGGTCTCCAGGAACAGGACTGGGCAACCCTGGGATAATAGGGTTGCTAATCAGATGGTTGCTTGTTCAATTCTTGCATGCAATGAGCTACTACAGAGTCCTTGAACATGGCACTTAACTCCAGGTTGCTCCAGAAGTTGAAGATTCAGC